ACACCCTTCCACACCCACATCCACACCCATACCCACACCCCACACCCATTCACACCCACATCCACATCCACATCCACACCCATAGTAGTATTAAAATCAAAAAGTCATAGTTTTAGGCATTTGTAGTTGATTCAAGTGCTTCTTTAGCTTCATCGATTCGTCTTAAAGTTAATTTAATCTCTCGATCATTCGGATCTATCGAATCTGATTGCAGTATAGTGAGTGCATTATTGAAAGATGTTAACGCCAAATCATAATTCCCAAGAGTCATATGCACAAGACCAATATGACGCATTTTATCGGCAATTGCCCTAGGTATTATTTCCTTGCGTTGCATAACATTTAAGCCACGAATTAAATATCCGAGTGCTGATTCAAAATTATCATTTCGTTGATGAATGGTTGCAATACGATCCAAGCATACGATTCGTATATTGTCGATGTCAACTAATGGTGAAGTTGAGCTTTCCAATATAGATAGAGCTTTTTCGTAAAAATGAAGAGCCTCTTTACTTTCATCGAAACTATTATAAGTATGTATTATATCATTTTCCAGACGCCATATTAAGTTTTGAATATTTCCAGAGTGATCATCAAATGTTTCATTGCAATTATTTAGTACTTGTTTCCATAGATTCAAGATCTTTTGATCATCGTTATTTTCATGAAGCGCTTTGATGAATTCATCGAAAAGAGAATAAACGAATTCTTGAATCCGCCGTCTTGGCGGTGCAGGACATATGTTGAGGGCTTCATGATATTCACGATAAGTAATATTATTGACAGGTTCTGCATTTCGTATACAGATGGCGTACTCAGGCCAATGAGAGACTTGCGAAGAAGAGTCAGACGGAATATACCTACAGCTTTCAGCATAAACGATATTTTGAGAGGCATCGTGACTTAGTTTAGGTCCGAAATGTTTTTCTAGACGATCTACAAGTTTATCACGATCTGTCAGATCAAATTCAATTTTCTGAATTTGTAATGCTTTAGAGAAATAGTTCAATGCGTCATCTATCGCATTTTGTTCGTAAAGCACATGTGCAATATTCATTAAACTTTGGACAATATCATTATGCTCTGATGGAAGTATTCGTTTTCTAATTTCCAATGATTGTAAATAACAATCAAGTGCTTCATATACCCTATTCATTTTCGAATAGACAAGTCCTATATTATTTAAACTTGCTGCTATATCCATATCAGTTTTTGGTAATTGTTTTCGACGAATATCAAATGATTTTTCGTAATACATCAATGATGTTAAATAATCTTGCATTTTATAATAAGCATTACCAATATTATTCAATGTTATAGCAGTATCTAAATGTTCTTTACCATAAAAATTTTCTCGAATTTCTAATGCTTGAAAATAGAAATCTAATGATTCGTTATACATTTCTTTTCGAAGATAAATATTAGCCATATTTGTTAATGGTCTTGCTGAATCTTTAACACGACAAGGTTTTGCTTGAATCATCATTATATATGCGCGACAAATATATTCATGTGCTTCCTTAAATTCACCTTTACACAAATATGCACATCCGACTTCGTTATAAATTCGTGCTATATCTGCTTTTTCATTGGATTCATTTAATAAATTTTCGAAATAGTTTATTGATTGATCATATTTTCCCATTTGTAAAAGTAATTTACCAAATAGAATATCTAAACTCGTTTCTTCATTGACTTTTCTATTTGATTCAATATATTCTTTAGCCATTTTTTCTCCATCATCGCTTGCTTTTAGTTTAACGACAAATAATTTTAATTCTTTATCTTCAATAATAGATTGAATCTTAAATGTGCTACCAAGATCGAATAAAACTTCCTGTTCGGCAGCAAATTCACTATATTTTGTAATATCAGCAAAGACGATTGATTTTGATTCATTTAAATTGCATTCAATTTCATACAATGTGGAAACTACATTAGTTCTTTTTGCAGATTTTAGAGCAAATTTCAGAGCAACTTGTTTCGAACGACTTGTTGAAAGAAATCCGTTTGTTGAAATTAAATTACCTTCATTTTGCTTCAATCTATTTAATTCTTCATTTTCCAATTTTAAACCACGATAAAGCATCACAACTTTGTCTTTTTCTCGATTTTTTTCATGTAGCTTTGCTAAATGTAATGATAAATCAACAATGAAGAACCGAAATATGTATAACTGTGCCATATCTTCTGTACGCAGAGCTTTATTAACAAGCTTATACAAAAATGTTTCTCGTGTGTACCAATAAATACATTTATCTGGTCGATAGGAAGATTCAAATTGATCAATATTTTTATATTCTTTCTGATTTCCACGATAATATTGACTACAAAATTGAATTAATTGTTCTTTTGCATTGTTATTTGCTGACATTCGTAGAATAACATCTTTAAATAATTGAAACCAGATAAATTCGGCAGATTCTTGAGATAAATCACGTGTTGCTTTTTCTTGATGTTCATTATAGAAACTAAATGCATTTAATTGCTTCTGCAATAAATCAACATTTTCTTTGATAGCATTGATCAAAGTCGAACGGTTGCTATAAATACCAACTACAGATTCATATTTTTGTAGTAAATCTTGATATTTTTCAATTTTGAAACAGAAAATAAAGATTGAATCAATTTGTTTTAATTGAATGGTTTCTGGTAAAATACTCGAAGCCGCTTTTCCAGACGTAATAAGAAATATTTTTTCATCTCTAACTGATTTTATATAGTCAACACATTCAAGTTGATCGGAATGAAAGATTACATAATTATTTATTTCTCTTAATTCTTTCGCTGTTTGCTTGGTATCATCAGTTGTATTTAAACGTGGATCAAACCATATTAATGTGATGCCTTCAAAGTTTGGAGATTGTGATGATACCGCTAATGGTACATTTAATGGTGCGAGAATCGCCTCAGACTTTTTTGAGGTTGCAGCTGAACCAGGAGATGAAGAGTTATTTATGGACGAATCGGCATCGAAATCAAACTTTTGTAGTTTCTGTATCAACGCTGAATGTAGATTAGAAAATAGATGTTTTATATTCTTTTTCCAGGATTTGTTGCCTTCCACCATAATTGTCTACAAAAGAATAATAAATCTAACGTTATTTGCTACAACTTATTCAGAGTGTTTCTCGATTATCGTTCATGTATTAGAGTCTTAAATACAGAAACGATTTTGTATAATAGAATGTGTGACTGGAACATGCGAAAAACCTATTTCTAGAAAATTATAAAAGAAAGATTAGCTTGGAAAATTGAGCTCCTTTCTTTACAAAATGGTCCCGAAGTATTAATTTCGATGGAATGCATTGGATGCATTCGCTCAAAGATATGAATGATGTTTTTGTGATTAGATTCGAGTACGTTTGATAGTAGAAAATATCATTTATTTAAACAGGCATAAAACTGAAAACTTCATATGCTTGGCAAAATCAGATTCTCTATCAAATGGAAGAGAAGTGGTCTATAGTGACTTTGAAAGATCAAAACTATCACTTCCACAGTACGGGAATTGTAGAAGGACACTCTCAACCGAGTCTCACATCCGCATATGATTAGATAGCTCCAAAGCTATGGTTTTAATTATCCATTTTCTATAAGGTTCGAGATTGGTAAATAGAAGTGTCACTTTACAATTACTTTTTATTCGATAAAAAGGAAGCATTATTATTACTTTTGAAGAGTAACCATAAAGTGACACTTCTATTAGTAAACATAAAGTAAAACAGCATCGGTGCCAGTAGGAGTTAAAGAAGAAAAGCATGATGTATTTGTTTTCGAACCAGAAAACAAGGATTGAGTCTATTTAATCGAATTTAAATTGCGAATGCCGCAAGAAGAAGTACATTCGATAGTATTATAAAAGAACACAGCTTGTGACTTGTTTTTCTTACTCTTTAACTGCATGATTTTCGTGTCATTCAAGCACAACAGTGAATCGCTGTGCGCTTTACGCGGCTATACAATTGATAGTATAATAAGATTTTTAAAAAAAGCTGTTAGCATAATTCCGATGAGATTAAAATGTGAAACGGGATATAGTTGCTGTTACTGATCACGAGAATATTGCTTTATTCAGTCTATCTTAGAACTCATTTTTTCATCATTTTTATTTAATCCTCTAGAACGGCAATAAGAAAGCATTTTATATATTCTCGCGAGATGTTTGTGATACATGGTCATTAATCATGTATATCATATGTCTGTGATTATCGCTGTAGATCGTCTTTCACGGTCTGTAATGTTTCCAGAGCCGCCTGTCTGTCACGGTCTGTGGGAGGAGCTGGCAATGGTCCAAAATTCTACCCTATCATCAAGTCGAACTCAAAATTTTAGGTTGATCGACACAATTCGTTGCTCATTCGAACCGGTTTTAGATGTACTTCACGGAGGCATACCGTAGAAAAATCTTCAGATCGATCAATCGAAGATCTACGACATCTTATCAGCCTACAATCAGTTTTTATCTTTGATCACATATTTGTAATCAGCATCTTCAATTCTATCATACTGGATGAACATTGATTGGTTATCTGACAAAAAGGTTTCCTCAAGATTTCCATAACTCCGCAAGGGCTTGGGAAGATTGAAAGAGGTTTCGGTGTAAATAGATATTTTACAAAAATATATCAACATCTCATCCGCATCTAACCGATAGTTGACATGAATTTATTCCTAGCAAAACGAAATGTAGTGTTGCTATGTATATCTTCTTTTGTTCATCTGACTTTTCTATCATTCAATTAGCAGTAACAGTCCAAAGCAATGAGCATGTTTTCTGAGGCTTACTCTGAAGTATTCACGATGGAACCTTTCGAAATGATTTTAAAAGCTATTCAAAAGGTATTTCGATTGTAAGTAGGATGCAATGAGACTAAAGAGAACCACAAGAATTTGTTTCTACACCCTATTGTTTCAGAACTATGACCGTTCCACTGTTCTTCTGTGTGTTTTTGATCGAACCACACATGTTAAATCCTCAAGTTAAATTCAACTATTCATCTATTGCAAAAGAAGACAGATGCGAATACATACCGGATCGCACTTGGTGTGGGTGAATAGTTGAATATCTTTACTTCAATTATTGAAAATTCAACTTTTAGATTTGACACTACTAGGCTTTTCATAGCAATCTAGGTTCAAATTACACCTAAATGTAACTTGAAAAGAAAATGAAAAGTTCTGTATTCTCTATTTAATTGCTCAGTTTTTTTCATTCGTCCTCTGGATTCATGCTTCCAGGAGAGTATTACAAAATGTGAGAATTTTATGGAACATATATTCTCTTTAGGATGCATCTTAATGTACTTTATGCTCTGGTTGATATCCATAAAGAATTTGTTCAAACTCAATCAATATTACACAGGTGTCTCCAACATTATTCTATCTAATAACGAAAACCTGACTTAGATATTTACAACGAATCAGAAATTATTCAAAAAATAGTAGTTGCTATTTTAAAAAACGAGAATAAGCTGTACAAATTGAATACCAATCATCGAAGTGTAGTCGTTGAGGACGAATATTGTGTTTCAACCAACAAAAAGTTTCGTTGGCATTAGGAGAACTGACAAAATGGAAAGTAGAACATGAAAGAAAACGTCCATGATCTGTATGACAATGCAAATACGCCACATTTACACACAGTCACTCTTTTTTCGAAAAGCAATTACGCATGAATTTTCTTTTTTCTGCGGTGTTTTAAAAGAAATTAGACGCGGGGAGCGAACGAAACTTATAGAAATACATTTCAGTGGGTAGATGATTCATGAAAAAGAGTTATATTCGAAAAGAGCTCTAGTTATAGAGTGGTTATTGATCTCGTTCCTATACTAAGTAAAGAAAAAAAACAGCTCTTTATAGCAAATAAGTTGCTGCATAATACGCTACCTGGAACACATGTCTCGGGTTGGTTGATTTACATTTACAAAAATTTATCAAATCCAAAAACAATCTTAAATTAATCTTTTTTATTTTATCTCTACAAATAAGAGCAATTTTTGAACTCAAAAGTGTACTATCAAACGAGACTTGAAACCAATAAGGTTTTTTCCTTACCGATGCAAATATAAACCTACAAAATCATATCAATTGATAGACTCGCATGAATCATTGATGATTTTTCTCATTCTGCACAAACCAAATAAGGGCCTCAATTAGTCATATCGATCTCTGAATCACTACACTTATGTTGTAAGGTTCCTGGGCAACAACTATAACTATTTTTCACTATTTATTCCAATAAACTTTCTCTCTCATGTTGTCTAGCGATGAACAGAAAAGTGCACTTGACTAGAAGTTCTGTATTGACTTTTTATGTTGATTAACGCCTCTTCTGACATAGATATTGTTAACATCCTAACTTATATACTATTAATAACAGCAAATACAAATTTTACAACCACGTGCTTCACTCTGTAAAAATTTATTAAACGAATTGAGCCAGAACCTCAAGATTACCCTTTACTGCCTTTTTTATTTCTTATTTCGTCAACGCTCACATCCTACAACTGATGGTGCGCTTTTGTTGAAACAATATGTGTACCGCAAGGGAGACAGCGTACTTTTGTACTTGAAGTTTATTTGATCTACTTTAAACTGCTTGATGCTTAGTTCGATGTACTTTATTGTACTTTGAGCTACTTGAACTGCTTGAACTACTTGAACAACTTTGAGTTATTGGAACTACTTTGAGATAACTTGGCGACTTTAAACTATTTCAAGTACTTTGGCGCACTTGAAGTGGAGTTCAATGTACTTGGAGCTATTTCTGCATGCTTTGAAAATGCGCTGTTTCCGCTTGGTGTACTGCCATATTATCACATGCCACATACAGGTTGGTCCCTTATTTTAGCAGAGAGTGAGAGTTATACCCTAGTTGATAGTCAAAATGCTTGCTACTCGGCAAGAATAATACAAAAACATTCATAAACAACGGTTTCCAATCGTACATTGACATTATCATATCTTAATATTACGATCGTATTTCTCTGATACCGTGAGCTGAGAATTACGATTATAATACCTTGCCATATAACACACCCAAATACGTTCGCATGTGTAGAGATAAGAAAAGAAAAAGAAAAGTGTATAAGAAGGCAATAAATCAACGTTTGTTTGCCTATAAACGACCAGAATTCTCTGTATATGACCTGGAGATATATTAATTTCACAAATACCTATTTAAACTGTCGTATTTCTCGTTTTATGATCGACGACAACATTGCCTGTTCTACATGAGTACTAACACATCTTTTACCTCTTTAAATTCGTGTAACAAAGTCAGGTTGTAAAAATATGACAAATAGTATAGTTTTGGTTAAGATGAAATACGCACATTTCGAACGGAAAATATAATGAAAAATAGCATGCATTTTAGTCTAATTGGAAAGACGTAGAAAGCACTAGTAGTTCATAAGCAACTTAAAACACTGCAAATATAGATGACCTATTCATTCTCGCAACCTTAAGTTCACTTCTAAGTATAGGCGTAAAAAACAAGATACCAGGACTTCACAGCTTTATTGACTATGTAGCATTTTTACAACTTCTACTCAATGTCTAAAAATTCATCATTCTCTTCATCAAGCAACATTTATGACCAACTCCGAATTATCTCGTTACTCGAGATCTGTTATACAAATGCTTATTAGTGCAGCTCCTTTGAGACTGAAATGTGGAACTTAATATCGGGGTGGGGTGTGGGTGTGGGGTGTGAGTACAGAGAGGAATGATACCCAGACCCGACACCCACACCCTATAATAAAAAAGCTAAATATAAACATGATTTCAATGTTTGATCACCAACATTAAGATTAATATAATTGTTTTTTGTAAATATCTATTCAATCGCCCAACACGCACATCATCATCATAAAGTCATTTTAAAAATATTGGTGTTACATCATCAACTACTAAACGAACCACAACAACAAATAATGAATTAGACAATCGATATACTGATACAAATTTACATAATCAATATATATCTATACCGATATGCGATAAATGTGAACGATCTATTGGCTATTGTACATATTATTGTATGTAGTATCATTGTTCATTGCCAACCAGTTATCCCAGCACCATTACTTATGAATATTATTGACACAATTAAAAGATTTGTTGAATATCATATATATATACATGGCAAGAAAATTCAACGGTTATTGCCCGAGCTAATTCGCGAAGTATTGGACAAAAATTTGTTTGTTGTATATTTCAATAGTTAGCTGTAAATTATGTATCTTATCAATTTTTTTAAGAAAATTTTCTAGATTTGTTCTCTATAGAAATAAAATATTAAATGAAGAAACATTTTATTTTAAGATGATTAATTACTACACAGAATTGCTTTATAATTAAACAATTTTCCGGGGTTTAAATCAATAATTGCACTTAAATGGCTTCTTAATGTAATTTGATTTTTTTTTCGAAATAAAATAAAAAAAATTATTTTTTGATAGGATATGAACAAATAAATAAGTATTTCATATCAAATTTTGTAGAAAATTACTTAGTAATATCGTAGAATTTATGAAATATATTCCAATTGATTCATCTATTCAATTATGGATAAATTTTTATTCGAAAAATTAACACGAGTTTATGCAGCAATTAAATCTAATATACCAATTAATTAGAATTTAACGCCAATACTTCGTATTATGATGAATATACTTAACATACCATATATAGTAAAGTGTACGAATTGTTCTTGATCGATTTTCAATATTATTAACATTTATTTTACACAATGGAACGTTTTAATTCGAACATATTATTGAATTATGTTCGAATCAAGTAATCGAATATTTACGCAAGCAAAAAAAGATAATTTTTTTTTCAGAATTTTAAAGTTTACATTAATAAGATCGAGAAAAAGTTTTATTACCAGTATGCATTGTTAATATTATTGTTGAAGCTCTGCTTCATCAGTATCTTTTAATGGTTTAAATAAATATCTACTTGTTTTTTTTTGTTTAAATCAATATTGATATCTATTTAGTTAACTTTACTTGATGCTGGTGGTACAATTTAGGCATCGACAATTGTTAGCGATGATTTTTTTGCATATCATCCTCATAATCGTGTGCGTTTCTGATCCCAGTGCTGTGATGTTTTTTTACTTATTTATAAAAAAAAATAGAATTTTTCTACAAAACAGTTGCATTTTGTTGCTGATATTCATACAAGAACAAAAATAAAAATTAGAAAGAATTAAAACAAAAAAATTTTATTTTTATTTAAATAGAATACAATGAAAGAAAAAAGTGCAAAACAACAATTATTTAATATAACAGAAGATACATTAGGTGGACAACTGAAATTTGGTCTTGCAAAATATCTTGCTTTAGAATTTACTAAAGGTAGACACATAGATTCAAAATCAATTGTTCGTTTTCTTCGATGGCTTTATAATCCATCGACTTCTGTTCAAAAATAGTTTGTATTTATTTTTTATTCTTCAATTTTTTAAATAATATTTTGTTGTTTTGTTTTTAGAGTAAAACATTTTGTTAATTGTATTGATCACATAAGATTTCTTTCATGGTTAATGATCGGTTCGTTAAAACATGCAGCTATAACACGCAATAAAGGTAGAATAATATGTCATCGAATATCAGTTGTTGCAAGTCAATTAATAATTGATTATATTTTATATATTTTTACTAGTTTTGCTAATCAATCAAAAACATCAGTTATTCATTTGTCTTTATTATTTCATTCATTTATTCTTTGTCAAGTATGAATATTAAATTAATTTGATTTTTCGAACGTTCTTTCTGGTTTTTGTATAATAAAGTTATGGACAATGTATTGTGAACAAGTTAATTATGGATATGATCGTGAATCATTTGTTGAAATTATGAATTTTTGAACGAGGATTAGATCGGGTATACTTCATTTATTATCATATTCAAAAGTGATATGTATCGATTTATTCTGTATTTTGTTAATAAAAAAAATCATTTAATAACGAAA